CCCCGCCCCTTCCACTCAGCTCCTGCTCCTCTCCGCTCTCTGTTCCCCACCACCCTCCCCTGGATCACGCTGCCGCTGAGTCCGACCCTTGCCCCGCTGGGTCGGCCTGCTCTGTTCCCTTGGGGCGCACCGCTCTCAGCCTGCCGAATAGGGCTGGGCCCTCCCAGGCATTGCTCAGGGAAGTGGCCTTCACTCGCCAGCCAGCCCCCGTGACTCACCGGGGCGCCCCGATAACAGCACAGTCTGCGGCTCACACGAGCCTGGAGCGCGTGATGCTGAGAGGCCCCCGGGGAGCTGCTGACCCCACCCTAGGGCCCTAGCACGTCCTTTCTGCAGGGGGCACGGCCCTCGGAGGCAGCTGTCGTGGCTGGGACCTCAGCCAGTGCCCTGGGTATCGAACTGGGGACGCAGGTGCTAAGAACATGCTGCTGCAGCCAGGCCCTAGCCCCACCTCCCGTCCCCTGGGGCTCAGGCACAGAGCGGGACACTCACGCTGCCCAGCGGGTGCCCAGGGCTGCAGGGGGGCGTGTATGAGCAGCTTTGCCTCCCTGGTTCTCACCACTACAGCCCACCCACAGCACTGAAGGCAGAGCCGCCATTGGCCCTGGGGTGCAGCTGGGAGCCCTGGGCAGCCGCCCTGGGGGCTGCTCTGGCGTTGCCTCACGGGTAGGGTGCTTGGCAAGGCCCCTTGCCTCTGCCCTCGGGCGGGACAGGCCCTGGGCTGGGCTGGCCCCAGAACGAGGTGGCCATGGCAACCACCATGGGGCAGCAGGTACCAGAGCCAATCAGCATCCCCCTGAGATTCAATGTGTAGCCCCCCAACAGGTCCGCTGGCGGGAGCTCAGTGGTACGGGGAGGCCCACGGTACGCACAGCAGGGGGCTGCGGCATGTCACAGATGGGGAGGGGGGTGGAGAGGTGCCAGACACCCATCTCCTGCAGGGCTTCCAGGGCACGGCTCCCGGCTGTGTTCTTCCTACCCCTGCACCATGTTCCCTGCCCTCGGCACCCCCACGGGAGGAAGGGGGAGGAGGTGGTGTGGGGAGGCCGCTCACTTGGCTGACAGAGGCCCCAGACCCACTCACAATGACTGGCTGCAAAAAGCCACAGCTGGGCCAAGAGCAGAGGCAGGCAGGTGTGGAGAGCTCTGTGGCCAGTGGCAAGGACCCGCCTACCAATCTGGGCATCAGTAGCTCAGCCCACCGCAGGAACAACCCGTTGCACCTCACACTTGCCCTGGTCTCCATGGCTCAGCCTAAAGGCAGGACTGGACACAGACGGGTGCGTCCAGCCTAGCCTAGTAGCATAGCCCAGGTCTTTCTAAGTCCTGGTGTGGCCCCCACGCCCTTGGGGAAGAGGGGGGCTGGAGATGAGAGCACTGAGGACACCTTGCCCTGCAGCTGTTGTCAGGCTCTGTGGCTGGAGTTGGGCAGAGAACAGAGATTCGGGTCGGTCCTGGACAATTCGGGAATTGGCACTGTCCATTTGGGGCCAGCAAAGTGTGCATGTGTGTGCCTGCACGCCTATGGGTGTGTCCCTGTGCATCTCTGGGTGTTTGGAGTGGGCCCTGTATACTTGTGTGTGTGTCCCTCCTGCACACCTCTGTGTGTTTGGGGGGGGGTGTCCATGTACCAGTGTGTGTGTTTATGTGTGTCTGCACACCTGTGTCCCTGCACACATCTGTGTGCCTGGAATGTGTCCCTGCACTCGTCTGTGTGTGTCTCCTCCCACGTACCTGTGTGTGTTTGGTGTGTGGGTGTCTGCTCACTTGTGTGTCCCTACACATGTATGAGTGTGTCCACCTGCATACTGCTCTGTGTGTGTATGCACAGCCAAATGTGTTTGTGTGTCCATGCATACCTGTGCATGTTTGGTGTGCATGTGTAACCCAGTGGATTTGAATCCACAGCTGGTTCCCCAGGTGCCCCACCTCAATCACCAGGCCAACAAAGGGTGAAGTGTGTTCGCAGAACGGAGCAACTTCCTCCGGCTGCGAGTGACTTTGCTCTCCTGGGAGGGGACGCTCCCAGCTCAAGTCCTTGCTGAGAACAGGGAGGGAGGTGGGGGGGGGGGG